CAGTGGAATACTGTGAAACCACTGGCAGAACTGTGTATCGCGTCACCGGAATACACATCTATTTATGCCCTTGTGCACTCAAAAACTGCTCCATATCACTACTACAGGTCCAAAACTCCACAGGGTACCTTTAAATTGCTAACTCTCACCTTTAAAGATGTTCACATCTACTGTACATTGTTCACATCTTTTATGCACATTTCCCCCTCAAATGTCAGCACTTAAATAACTTTTACTTTGTTGACACCACCAGTGAGTTCACCAGTGAACCAATTTGGAATAACAAAAAAAAGTCAATGGATTTGTTCAGTCCAGGGTCAGTAGGCCGACTCCCCTGCAACTGTTTTCACTTTGAGGGCTAATTTGGCCTGACCAAACCAGAACAGGTCTGCCCTCTTTCTGATTAAGTGCAGCATTACTCAGAATGAACTAAAAAAGATCCTGCCAATCTCTCTGCTTAGTTCTCAGTCCTAGGGAGAGAAAGACTTTCCCTGTGCGCTTTATTTTAACACCATTGATCTGCGGTCACAGGAAATGTTTTAAGGACTCAATATCTTTAGCCTTTGCCCTACATAGTCACGGTTGCTTGTAATTTCTCCGATAATACATTTTGGTGTATCCATAGGTGAACAAATTGTGAGTTGCCCTGCCTTTAAACTAACAAGCCAGTCAGTAATGAGATTTTCTCCTGACTGGTGAACTCACTTCATCCATCACCCAGCAGTATGTCATGTTAGTTTATTTCATTCAGCAAGGTCACTCTCCCTGACGAGAGGACTGGGTGCCAAACCACTAGAGGTTTGATTAATTGTGAATCAACGAGCCATAAAGCTGCGCACTGTAAACGGGATACGATTGGGCGAAATGATATATCAAACTTCTCCTTGCCGGACCTTGCTTTGAGGGAGGTCTGGCTTACTAGGTTAAAAATACACTGGCCCACAGCAGGAGGAAAAAAAATGGAGTGACAGTAAAGAGAGAGAAGGCAAAGGATAAAAATAAATTCAAGAAAGAAAAATGGAGATGCATGAAAGTGGGATGAGAGGTAAATGCTTGAAAGGTAGAGATAAACAGGGAGGAGAGGATCAGATTGAGAAATATTTAGAAGATGGAGAAGTAAATGAAGGACAGAAATTGACTCCTGGGAGGAAATTGGGATACATGAAAAACCAATTCAGCCATAACACAACCAAATATCTGTCCCTGTCTTCTTTCCTACATTCTTTCTGATGTTTCATCTCCAGTGTGTGATTGTGTTGACAAAACGGACCTGCACATATGTTGATGTCGGAAACAACTTAATTCCAACATCCAATATCTCTGACGTTATAGGTTCTGCTTGAGTAGTGGGACACACACACACAGACGGTTTCCATTAAACGGCTATTTCCAGAAGCTATCGGTGCGGTGGGGAAATCAAGCGCTCGACCACCGTTTGAAGTCGTATCAGCTACACTTGTTCCTATCGCCATGCTATCACTCCATCCACTTCTCCCTTCTATCCCTCACTAACCCCTCTCTTCCTCACTTATCTCCCTTACGCCCCCAGAGATCCTCGGCCTCTTCTCTCTTCTCTACCTCCCTCTCCTTACACGTCGCCTCTCATGTGCTCACTCTCTCTTAATCATCCTGCTTTGCTCCCCCTGTCATCCCGGTCTGACCCAGAGCAGCTCGAGGCGCTGAGAGCTTCGCTTTCCCTCGTCATACCAGCCGACTTTTATCTTCTCCTGTTCCTCCATCTCTCCCTTCCTTCACTTCTCCCCTCCAACCCTCCATCAGTGGTGGAAGAAGTACTCAGATCCTTTACTTGAGCAAAAGAAGTAAGGCCACAGAGAATAGAAGGTGGCACTGAAAATTTGACAAATTAATGTAAAGTACCATCACAAAAATGTACTTTTATCTAAAGTAAAAGTATTCAATTTTGAAAAATCTATTAGTATACTTATACTGATGGAAACATTAAAAGGAAAAGGCTGGAATTAAAGTGTAAGTAGCTTATCATCTCCATTTTTCCATATCTTTCTGATGTACCCAAATCCCATTAAAAGACCAAAACCAGACATGCTTTTGTCTGTATCTCAGTACCCTACCTTGTTTTGAGCACTCAAACACAAGCCGGTTTGGTCCTAAGACATACATTTTTAAAAAGTGGTACAAGATGTATTGTTTTATTTTTGAAAAAGGGCTCTGCTGGGTACTGTTCCGTGGATGTTACTCAAACAGGAGTTGTTGGGGACTATTTTCAGCTCCACATTAAGACACATGGCGCTCCAAGGGAATATTAACCATGCATCAGGACGGTGCATGTGGGGCGAATTTAAAATAAACTTAAGTCACCCAGTGCTACAGTGTATGTCACTGATGTGTTTTGAATAGTTTCTGGACAGGAATGGAGGTCTGTGGTACAGAGAAATTCATTATATCAGGGTTATTTTCTTTTTATGGGATGTGTTAACAATAAGAAACATAAAATAATATTACAAGCCTTATCCTTTAACATGCAATATGAGCTGCATTTTCATTTTGCAGCTGGTCAAGGTGGAGCTACTTGAACTGCTTTATATACTGTTGGATGGTAAATGTATAAAAATGCATCATTTTTCATATGATGGTTACATGTTTTCTACGTAAAATCTAAATCTGTACTAAAGTGGAGCGCTTGAGGAAATTTCCTTAGTTACTTCCCATGACTGCCCCCCATAATCGTTCCTCCCTCTCCCCTCTTCACCAATCCCTAATTTTTCCTTCTCTTCCTACTCCTAAATGATTCCATCTTTCTTCTCTTTCCTTTCTTCCACTCCTCTTCCCCCCTCCCCATCTCTCTAATGCACAACTGCTCTCTCTCACACTCTCTCTCCCTTTTTCTCTCTTAGTCCGATGCTTGACGCTGCCGGAGACAGATCGCAGTCCTCTCTTCTTCTCCTCGCCGGGAATCACACACACACACACACTCTTTTCCACCAGATAAGGACAAAGTAAGACAAAAATTGTTGAGGAAAAAGATTGGATAAAAATTGCAGTTGAATGGATAAATGAAGAGGAGGAGTGACTGAGTGGAGGCAGGACAAGTGAAGGGAAAAAAAACTGGAGAAAACCTCCCTGAAGGAGATTTCTAAAAATACAAGCCAGCTTACTCCCTGCATTCTGTTATTTTCTCTCTCTCTCCCTTCTTTTTTGCCGTGTCCCCTCCTTCATTCAGTACCTGTTCTGTGGGATTAACATGACTTAAAATTCAATCAGCCTACAGCCTGACGGAGGAGCGACAGAGGAGGCAGACAGAGCGCTGCAGCTGTCGAGACCGAGTGAGGGGACGTGGAGAGAGAGGAGAGAGAGAGCGGGGGGATAGACAGTGAGAGATAGAGATAGAGAGGAGAGAGAGCGAGAGATGGGTGTTTTTCCACGGAGCTGAGACAGAGAAAGCGCCGCGGAGACAGGGAGATGTGACGGTTTCCAGGGGTCGCGGTGGAATGATCCGGAAAACAAGGTTAGTAATTCCACCTTTTTATCTAGCAGAGGGGAAAAAGGGGATGGATAAGGATGAAAAAAGAGGACGACTTCAAAAAAATGGGATTAAAAGGACGACAAGTAGCTGTATTGTGCTTTTGAAGTAGCAAAGTGAACACCAGAGGAGGAGAAGCAAATAAACAGGGAAGAAAAGAAAAAAAAATGAATCAAGGATTTTCAATTGAATTCAGGAAGGAGGAAAAAAAGAGGCTGCATATATGTAGCTGCTGCACTAATGTACATATACACACTCTAAAGAACACTCTCACAAAGAAACACACACAAACACAGAGTGAGTGCACAGCAGCTTTAGAGCAAGATAACGAGATTGTCTTCTTAAAGGTGTCGGCTTTTGGAGTTTGATTGACAGGTCAGAGAGTGAAGGGGGGCAGAATTTTGAACTGTCTGACATTCATGGTGCGGATCAATAGCCCAGTTGTTTCATTAGACTGCGTGTGTGTGTGTGTCTGGGAGAGGG